TTTCAAGCTGGGGAAGCGGGCAAGAGGCATGGATTGCCATGGACTCAGGCAGTAAGAGTAAGCACCAACTCCGTCAGTGGAGAAATGAAATGGAAGGCAGACTGCTTTGCTTTTGTTTTGTTTGGATTTGTTATTGTTGTTGCTGTTGTTTTTGAGACAGTGTGTAGCTGACTTTCTTTTGGGCTACCAACCAGCTCCCAAATCATGACACAAAGACGTATTAGTTATTAATGCTCAGACTTAGTTTATGCTTATCCCACTATCTCTTATAACATACATCAACCTATTTCTCTTCATCTGAGTTTTGCCTCAGGCTTTTTAACCTTTCTTTCATTCTGTATATCCTACTCCATTTCTGTCTGCCTGGCCCAGGGCATCTCCACTTCTTTCTCTCCTCTTCTCTCCTCCTACTTATTCTCCCTACCCTCAAGCCTATCCCTCCTCTGCGTAGCTATTGGCCATTCAGCTCTTTATTAGACCAATCAGGTGCCTTAGGCAGGTAAGGTAAAACAGCAACACATTTTTACATAAGTAAACAAATGCTGCATAAACAAATGTAACACATAGTTAAACAAATGCAACATAAACAAATGCAACACCTGTTTATATAGTTAAGCAATATTCAACAACAAAAGTGTCTTGACAGATGGTCCACACTTGCCTTGAAATCCAGGCAATCCTCCTGCCTCAGTCTGAGTCCTGGGATCATAGGTATGCATCACTATGTCCAGCATAAATACAAATAATCAATTTATAAAAATAGTCAAGTGTATAAAATGCAGTGACAAAAAACCCTTCCCTAGACCCAACTAAGTTTTGGGTTGAAATTTGAGACAATTCCTGTGGTTAATTATAAGTTAATAACATCCATGCAAGCTTCAAGGCAGCAAATTATAGTCCTTCTTCATCAGTGTGCATTGTTCCCTACACAGAGGGTATTCTAAAAGACCCACTCATCCACACAGACTCCTTGCAGACACAGACTCCCTGCAGACACAGACCCTTTGCAGACACACACCCTCTGCAGACACAGACCCTTTGCAGACACAGACCCTATGCAGACATACACCCTATGCAGACACAGATCCATTCATCCTTACTGGTACACTGCAGATGACACACACCCACTGCAGACATACACCCACTGCAGATACAGACCCACTCATCCACACAGACACACTACAGACACACTCTCTGCAGACACAGACTCTCTGCAGACACAGACTCTCTGCAGACACAGACCCACTCACTCACACAGACCCACTGCAGACACAGACCCACTCACCACACAGACACACTGCAGACCCACTGCAGACACACTCTCTGCAGACACAGACCCACTGCAGACACAGACTCTCTGCAGACACAGACTCTCTGCAGACACAGACCCACTCACCCACACAGACCTACTGCAGACAAAGACCCATTCATCCCTACTGATCCACTGCAGACACAGACTCTCTGCAGACACAGACCTGCTTACCCACACAGACCTACTGCAGGCACAGACCCACTCACCCACATGAACCCACTGCATAAGGATAAATTTAGGAAAAGCCAGAATCCTCCCTGGTTTCTACAACTGTGGTGGTTTTTTTATTCCACTCTTGGGTACTGCACATATTTGTGTTTAAACAATAGAGTTGAAACAAACTATGTGAATATGATTATAAAGATGAAAGAAAAAATAGAACTCAAGTTATTTAAGCTTTTAGTCTTGGCAGTCATTATCTCTCATTTGTAATTAGACATTTAACTGTAAACACAGCATGAACTAAAAAAATGTGTATTTTTTGAAACCTTGATTAGAACTGAGGTGAAATTCCCATAACATAAGATTAAACATTTTAAAGTACCTGCTTAGTGGTGTTCGCCTTTAACCCTAGTACTTGAAAGGCAGAGGCAGGTGGATCTCTGTGAGTTCAAAGCTGGCCTGATCTAAGTAGCTAGTTTCCAACCAGCCAAGCTGCATAGTGAGGGCTTGTCTCAAAAAAAAAAAAAAGCCTTCAGAGACACTTAGCAAATTCACAGTATTACACAGCCATTGCTTCTGTCCACTTCAAAACACTTCATTATCCCTACAGGAGACTTTGTGCTCACCAAGCAGCCACTCTCTTCTATTTTGCCTGGTATTTTAGTTCATACACGTTTTTAAAATTTCATTTTTAAAATTTTTGATTATGCGGCATAAGTACACGTATCTGTATGTGGATATGTGTGTGTGAGTGGAGTAGCCTGCGGTGACCAGAGGCATCGGATCCTCTCGAGCTGGGGTCACAAGGCTGGCATGATGTGGACACCCAGCCTTGGGTCCTCTGGAAGAGCCATCTGTCCAGCCCTGATACTCTACTAACTTTAAAGTGAGTATATTTTAGTTGGGCATGTGGCTTATACCTCCCAGCACCCAGGAGGCTGAGGCAGGAAGACTGCTGTAATCTCTAGGCTGGCCTATGCTGTATGTGAAATCCTATCTCCGAAAAACAGACATTAGAAAAATGCCCTTCTTCAATTGTTAATGCTTGCTTTAAGGTATAGTTAATCATTCTGTACTACGACAAGGATGTCGATGTTTTCAACTTTTTCAGAAGTCATATTACTGTCATAAAAGCATAATTGTTTCTATTTTTGTAATATTTATTTCCCATTTAATTTCTTACTACCATTGACTCCTGTAGACACAGTACTTGGGAGTCAGAAGTGAGAGGGTCATGAGCTCTGGAGCAGGAGGACAGTGTGAGTCACATAGTGAGACTCCAACAAGAAGGAAAGGCATAGAGGAGGGAGGGGAGGAGAGGAGGAGGAGGGGAGGGGGAGAGGAGAGGAGAGGAGGGGAGAGGAAAGGTGGAGAGAGGAGAGGGAGGAGGGGGAAGAGGGGAGAGGAGAGGAGAGGAAGAGGAGAGGAGGGGAGAGGAGAGGTGAGGGAGAGAAGATGAGGGGGAAGGAGAGGAAGGAGAGGGAAGAGAAAGGAGAGGAGGTGAGGAGGAGAGGGGAGGGGAGGGGAGAGGGGAGAAGGAAGAGGGGGAGAGAAGGAGAAGAGGGGAGAAATGAGGGGAGATGAGAGGAAGGAGGGGGAAGAGAAAGGAGAGGAGGTGAGGAGGAGAGGGGAGGGGAGGGGAGAGGGGAGAAGGAAGAGGGGGAGAGAAGGAGAGGAGGGGAGAAATGAGGGGAGATGAGAGGAAGGAGGGGGAAGCGGGGAAAGGAGAGGAGAGGAGGTGGAGAAGAGAGGGGAAGGGAAGGGAGGAGAAGAGAACCAGGCATAATTTACATTAGAATTTAAGAGCAGGGGGGAGGTGCGGGGGTGGGGGGTTGGGGGATGGGGGAGTGAGGGGTTGGGGATGGGCAGAAGGATGGAAAGTTCAGTGTCATCCCCAACTACATAAGCAAGTTCCAGACTACGCCGGGGGATGTGAGACTCTGTCTTAGGGGCAAAAGTAAGAAAAGGAATGAAAATCAAACGGTATAAAAAGGTAAAACCACACACACAACTATTGACAGTTCGTTTTCTGGCCACTATTATTGGCCATCCCCTGTGATGATTGTTACTAATGATAATTTTGTTGATTAGATGAGGATTAATAGAAATTCATCTGTCATGGGTGTCCAGCAAGCCAAGTCCATGATGACACAGTGATCCTTACAGGCCATCAGCCTTGGCTGTCCCTGCTGCACACTGCTCACGTGCTGTGCTGTTTGCTCTGTAAGTAGTGTGTGGACACTGGGGAGGGGACAAGCTCTTCAGCTTGCCTCTTGGGTTTTCCAGCTGGGGCTTTGTGAATTAACTTGGCAAAAGACAGCTTACAAAGGGAGAGAAAGACTGAGCTTAACATGTACATATGAGCAGGGAGCTTGAGAGAACCCATATAAAATCTTTTTTTTTTTTTTTGGTTTTTTGAGACAGGGTTTCTCTGTATTGTTTTGGAGACTGTCCTGGAACTAGTTCTGTAGACCAGGCTGGCCTCGAACTCACAGAGATCCGCCTGCCTCTGCCTCCCAAGTGCTGGGATTAAAGGCGTGCGCCACCAACGCCCGGCTCCCATATAAAATCTTAACAAAAACCAGAAATTTGAAAGGAAATGACAAGAGGAAGGACCTCCCAGGGCAACAGGCTGTGGGAGTATAAGTATGTGGGGAAACTAAGGGAGGGAGGAAAGGCTGTTTTAGTAAAAATTGTTACATAGATTCCTCTCATTTCTTGCTGATCAGGGTACCGGGTACCTGATGGTTAATGGTGTGTGTGGGGGGGGGGGTTGTAGAGATTTTTCTGTGATGTCTATTTTTTTAATTATTATTTCAAGGCCACATTATTGTTATTATTATTATTATAATGGTGATTTGCCTGTATGAACGTCTGTAAGAGAATCCTGGAGTTATTTTTAGACAGCTGTAAGCTGCCATGTGGGTACTGGGAATTGAACCCAGGTCCTCTGAAAGAATGGTCAATGCTCTTAACCACTGAACCATCTCTCCAGCCCCAATGTCTATTTCTTGATTGTTTTCAACTCAAAATAATCTGCATGCCAAAGCAGCACTGGGGGTGTGTGTGTGTGATTTAACCCCTGTGATAGGCACTTACTAAGCTAACACAGCTTCCGAGCCTGAGGTCATCTAGAGTCTTCCTTTCTCGGGGTACTGTACTTCCTGAGGAACAGTTTGAGAATATCTTGGAAAACTGGTTGGGGCAGATGAACTAGGTCTGTTGCCCCTGGGGGCGGGGGAAGGGGGACAGCCTGATCCTCAGCCCAGAGAAGCGCAAGCCCCAGCACATCCCAGCAAATCTCTAGGAGCTCCGTCTTGTCCAAGCACCCTCCACAAGAGACTGACATGGATAAAAATAAACCAGTAAGTGTTACAAAGTAGTCTTTCTCGGTAAATTCCTGCCATGCCAGACACAGGCGAACCTCTCCACTCTTTCTGTCTGAGGGTTTCCCTAGCTGCCTCCACTTTGGCGATAGGAGATTCTAGAGCTAGATAATCCCTACCCCACCCCAGGTGCTGAAGGCCAAATCCAGAGTCGAGCACATGGTTAGAATGTGCTCGACCACTGAACTCCAGCCTGTGAACTTTATTTTTAAGTGGATGCCTTCCATGCAAGGGAATGCTAATGCCACCATTATCTACCTCAGAGAGCTGAAGAGATGTGATAACTGGATTATCGTGGAAATGTTCAATTTACAATTTGTGTTCTTTTTCTCACACAGGTCCCACAATAACAAAACTGTTCTTCCCGGCCACACTCTTACAGTTCAAAACAGCAGATGTATGGAGGTTTTCTCCCTGTATACCAAGTGCATTCCAGCAGGCAGCAACCTGGTCATGCTCTAATTTAATCCAGTCCTGACACTGCCCGCCTAGTGATAGCACTTCATGCCACATGCTGAGTATTCAGGCCCACAAGACTCCTCCGTTTCAGATGCCAACCAGGAGCCACACCCATCAGTCAGCCGTGACCCCTGCCACAGGCTTAGTTAATTTACCAAAGTGGTTCTTGGAACTCATCAAAGCTCTGTGCTTATAACTGCCTAATTGTGGAAAACAGGCGTAGGACAAGATAAACAGGTTGGGGGGGGCACATCTCTTCCCTGAACTTAAATTACTCTGCAGTCCAAGAGCTCATGTAAACTCTTCCCACAGTCCACATCCCACCTTTATTGTGTGTGTGTGTGTGTGTGTGTGTGTGCTCGATTTATGTGCACAGGTATTTTGTCTACATGTATGACTGAGCACCAGGTGCATACCTAGTGCCAGAAGAGGTCATGCCAGAAAAGGTCATCGGCTCTTCTGAGATTGGAGTCACAGACACTTGTGAGTCGTGATATAGGTGCTAAGAATTGTTGAGCGGTCCCTAGAGGCCCAGTTTTCCCTTTTTTGTGGGGGCTTCCTTGTGTGGGATAATTAATTAAATTACTGCCGTTAGAGACCAATTCCTCTTCCAGGACGCTGGAAGGATGTGCCAACAACCTCTTGCTCCTGCCCTGGTCTTCCCAGTGGAAAGCTGGATCCCACTGCAGCGGTCTCTTCACATACAAAACAAAACTAAAAAAACAAAAAACAAAAAACAAAAAACAAAACAAAACAAACAAACAAACAAAAAACACTCTGAAGACTACTAACCAGTTTAAGACCTCTCCTAGCTATCTTGAATTGTCAACTTGACACAAGATAAAGTCTGAAAAGAAAGCCTCCATTGAAGAATTGCCTACATCAGATTGGCCTGTGGAGGTGTCTGTGGGGATTGATTGGATTACTAACTGACACAGGCGCGTCCAGCCCACTGTGGGTGGTGCCATCCCTAGGCAGCTGGGCCTGGGCTACATAAGAAAGCCAGCTGAGCATGCGCTAGGGAGCACGACAGAGAGTGAGCCAATAAGCAGCATTCCTCCGTGGTCTTTGCTTCAGGTTCCTGCCCTTACCTTTCTCTATGACTGGACGTGAACTGAAAGTGTGAACCATGTAAGTCCTTTCTTCTAACTTGCTTTTGGTCAGAGAGTCTAGAACAGGACCTATATGCCAAAAGTAACAGAAACCAAAAATGTATTGTAGCCCAATACCACAACTGGATTCCCAAAGTTATTTTAACTTTGATCTATACGTATCCTGGGGTGACCCCAGCCTCTGCGTATCTTTTATGGGTCTGTGTGAGGAATTCTAGGAGACCTGTTCTCTGAACGAAACTGCTGAGTCATAAGCTTTCCAGGTACTTGCTTAGGTGAGTGGATGAGGGATTGTTCTCCCAGCTGAGCAGCAGCCCCAGCGGACCAAACCTCTTGCCCCACCCCCACCCCACTCCCACAGCACTGGGTATTATCCTGCTTTCTGGCTTCCCGGGTCTAGCCTTACAGCATTCAATGATAAGGTGATCTTTAAGAACCTGCAGTTTCTTTCCTATCATTGTTAGGCTGTGAATCTTCTGTTTCCTAAGTCTTCTGGGATATTGTCTGTCCTTTATTGTTGAGTGTCACAAGTTTGCTGTTTACTCCAGTAATTAATCCTTTGTCACTTCTAGATGACCTAAACTACCTTCCATCTCTTACATTCAGCAGAGGCTGACTTTATTCAAGGTGCTGTGGCCATTTCCTAACTCCCATGCAACCTGTTAATAGAACCCTTGACTTGATATAATCAGATCATTCAGTTTGTCATGGGATCTCTTGCTTGCTTCTTTCTTTCTTTCTCTCTGTGCTGGGGCCAAACCCAGGCCCTCATGAACAGCAGGCAAGCAGCCCACTACTGAACGATTCTGGTCCTGGTTTATACATACTTTCAAAATCTTGTTTAAGAATTCTTTTAAGCTGGGCAGTCTCGGTACACACATTGATCCCAGCACTTGGAAGGTAGAGGCAGGCGGATCTCAGTGAGTTTGAGGCCAGCCTGGCCTACAAATGGAGTCCCAGGACAGCCAGGACCATCCCACAGAGAAACCCTGAAAAACCGAGAGAGAGAGAGAGAGAGAGAGAGAGAGAGAGAGAGAGAGAGAGAGAGAGAGAGAGAGAGAGAGGGAACTTCTTCCCACCAGCTGCCTGGGTCCCGCCAGCTGCCTTAGCCCCCAAATAACGCACGAGACACTATATTAATTATGAAGCTGTTGGCCATTTGTTAGTTATGGTTTCTCATTGGATACCCCTGACTTAATTATTAACCCATGATTACTAATATATATTTTTATAAGGACTTCTTTCTGAGGACACCCTCCTGACATGTCCTCTCCTCCTGGGAGATCACATGGTGACTCCTCTCTTGATTACATTTCCCAGAATTCTTCTCCTAGTCCCACCTATCTTGCTTCCCTATTGGCCAATAGTGCTTTATTCATCAACCAATAAGAGAGACATATTTACAGAATGATGGCTCTCAGAGAGAGAGAGAGAGAGAGAGAGAGAGAGAGAGAGAGAGAGGGTGAGAGAGAGAGAGAGAATGAGAGAGAGAGGGGGGAAATATTTTAATCTATCCCAGGTTACAATGGTTTGGTTTTTTTTTCTTCTTTCATATTACCTGTATACTTTTTATCTTTTCTAGTTACACCTAAAATCTGTTGAAAATAACCCTCTTGTCTCTTAAAGGGGGTCTCAGGTCCTTGTGTCTCTGCACCAGGTTCTCTGTGTCTCGAGCAATGATTTGGACAGCCCACAGAAAAGCAGTCTTAGGTATTGAGACAGATGTTAGTGGCTTAGAGGCCATTAAGGATGGGCCCTCCCCCATGGACTGGTAAGGCAAGTGTTTCCTGTGGTTCTAAATTACCTAAGGAACGGTGGGATTATCTACTTCCTCCAGGTCAAAAGAATAAACTCCTCATTTCTGCCTCAGGCCTTGGATGTAGACTTGACAATTTAAGCTACTCCAAGTATTACAAAGTACTCACCCCTCTTTTTCAGAGTTAATCCAGCTGGGCCTGTCAATCATCTAGCCAGGATTCCAGTGCCCAGGAAAGCTGCCTCACCAGAAGGCATGCTGGGAGAGGGAGTACTACCTGGCCCCTTAATGAGGTAATGTACTGTCCAAACTAGAAGCCCCTTCCTCAGGGTAGAAACTCACGAAGCTGCCTTCATGTAGCTCCGTAGAGCCTGCCTGCTTCTCTGAATCCCAATTCAGGAGAGTGTAACTTTCCCTTTTCCTCTTTGAGTCTTTTTCTTTCAGGCATAGGCAAAGCCTACCTGTGCTTTCCCTGGCCCTGTGGGCCTCCTCACTAATTCTCTGAAGCTAACCTCTTACCCTCCCCCCTTGCCTCTGATTGGCCAGCCTCTTCCTCCAGGTAGCTGCCAAGATTTTACAGCTCACCTGACCTGTTTTTTTTGTCTCTCTCTTAAGCTCCAATAAAATTGTTTACAAATTTCCTTCCAAGTCCATTTTAAAATTAGTTTATTAATGAAACAAAGATCCCCAAAGAGAATGCCATTTTCCCCTAGTAATATTAATTATAGATTTATTGAAAGTGAGAGTGAAAACATGGAGTGTACTCCACAGAATGAAGGGGGGTCTTTAGACCAGTCTGGGCAGAGGAGGAGTTGATCTGCAGAGATAGAAATGGTGTGGAGTCGAGCCTGACAATTGGGGAATACACCCCATAACCATAAGCATGGGGGGGGGGTTGTGCATAGCTTTGAAATGCCCTCCAGCCCACAGGCACACTCTAGGGAGAGATTAGCCTTCTCTGCACTTGTGCCTGAAACCAGCCTAAGCTGGCTTTTTTCTTTTTTAAAAAATCTCTTCTCCTATCTGAAAGTTTCTGAACACAGATTGCCCACAGAATGGGGCTTGCTGGTTGTTGTTCTACAGGGAAGAGGCAGAAAATTTTTTTTCAAGTGCATGTGTCTTGGGTGGCTGGGCTGTCCCTGCCTTTGCTGCCTCACTTCGGATATAAAATTGGATAGGGATCCGATTTTATTTTTCTTCATCCTTTCTTTCTCTGCATCTCTTCCCATTATGTAATTCCCATTCCCATAGGTAACCGATCACGCTGACTCTGTACATAAGAGGTTACAGGTATATTGCTATGACAAAATACCTGAAATAGTCAACTTAAAAATTTGAGCTTATGATTTATCAGTCCATGGCCATTTGGTGCTGCTGCTTTGGAGCCCTGTGTTGGCACAGTGGACCATGGTGTAAGTGTGCAGGTCAAGCCTGCTCCCCTCGTGGTGGTCAGGAAACAAAGAAGAAAGGGCCAAGGTTCTAAGGGCACACTCCCCTCAACATAACCCCTTGAACACACACACACACACACACACACACACACACACACACACACACACTATGAAGCTCTACCTCTAACAGGGTCTGATACTTCCCAATAGCATAATAGGCTGGTGGCCTAAACCTTCAGCATGTAGGCCACCAGGAAGCATTCTAGAACCAAACTATAGCAACAATTAAATGCAGGCTAATTCACTTCAGTGCCACATGAGAGACACTTCTGTGCAGTGCGTCAGTGCGTCGTTGTCTGGACGTTTCCTTCTTGCTGTCCTGCAGTTTCAAGGTTGATGTAGGCACCTGTGGAATTTTCTTAGGCATAGCTAGAAAAGCATCTCAAGGCGGAAGAGATGGCCTGGCAAGAAAGAGCACCTGCCTGTGCAAGCACAGGGTCCTGGGTTTGGATCCCGAGCATCCACAGGAAGACACACGTCCGTAAACCCAGCATTGAAGAGCAGAGGCAGGCAGACCCTGGAGGTGGCTTTGCTTTGCTCCGGGGGAGGTGAGGCAGTGAAAACCCATGCTGGCCAAAGAGGAAACAGCACAGTGGTTGTCATGGTTCACATGCCTGGAAGTGGGCCATGTGCTCTGCAAGCATAGACGAGGGAAGGGACATGGAGACAAGCAGGGAGCTGAGAAGGCAACCAAGCATGGCCAAGCACTCTAGGCAACTGTAACTGAGGGAATGAGACTCTCTGGGCTTGGTGACTGGTGGCCATGGTGTGACTGGGTGGGTCATGAATGACTGTGAAGACAGAACATGTCAACAACTTTCTTTTTTTTCTTTTTTCTTTTTTTTTTTTTTTTTTTTTTTTTGGACAGGGTGTCTCTGTGGCTTTGGAGGCTGTCCGGGAACTAGCTCTTGTAGACCAGGCTGGTCTCAAACTCACAGAGATCGGCCTGCCTCTGCCTTCTGAGTGCTTGGATTAAAGGTGTGAGCCACAAACGCCTGGCTTCAGAACATGCCAAGTTAGAAAGCAAAAGAGAGCTGAGGGCCATTTTCCCTGCACAGGGACCTAGGTGACCTCCAGGGAAAAGATGACTCAGGGAGAGAGAACAATCCAGACTTTCAACTTTGGGTTTCTGTTGGTTTTGTTGTTGGTTTTTGTTTGTTTTGTTTATTTGAGACTTGCTTTCACTATGTTACCTTGGCTGGCTTGGAGCTTGCTATGTAGACCAAACTGGCCTCAAATTCCTAGAGATCTGCCTCTGCTTCTACCCCTCTCTGTCCTCCTTTGGCCCCCCCTGCCCCTCTGTACCGCTGCCTCCCAAGTGCTGGGACTAAATGTGTGTGCTACTATACCCAATTCAGGAAAATTAACTGTTAAGGCAAACATTCTGATGAACTGATGAGTATAATTTTGTGTTAATAAATGGTTGTGGTTTATTTTACCCAAGATATGACATACAGCACCGTATACATTTCACTTCTACTACAAAATGTTTAGCTTCTGAACACTGGATTCAATCATTACAAAAAAGAAAATCTGAGGGGACTTGGAGAATGAAACCGGAAACACGAGGTGACACAATTGGGCAGGTAAGAAATGGAGGCATGAAGAAATCAAAAGCTTTGCTTCCCAGAGAGTTAGAGGCAGGCACCCTGCTTGTAGAGCTCTTCTGGTCACAGGAGCTAAACTACAAATAGAGAACTTCTCTGTGTGGTCACTTATCTCCACGGTGATACTGCTGCCACAAAGGAAGTACACAACACACCAACGGTAGCCTGGAGTCCTGTCACTGCTTGGTGACGCCCTTGGTCAGATAGAATGTCCAGCTCTTGGGTGGCTAGGCATCATGCCGCTGACCTGAGAAGTTCTCAGTAAATGGAAGAAATGGATATAGTTTTTATGTGTCCTTCCTTGTTTATAGATAAAAACGTTCTGAAGCAGGCATGGTGCTACGGTTGCTGGAGGTTTTTGGCTCTGAGCCCTGGGCTCAGTCAGCTGCTCACATACACCACCTAAATACCTGGGCTTGTAACACTAAAATAAAAGGGAGGGGTTTCAGTATGGGCACATACTGAAGTGGGCTACACTCCACTTCCTCTTAGTCCAGAAAAGGGCTTTCTGCACAAGCCCTGCAGGGCCAGTGCTAACAGAGTCCCCTGTCGATCTCTGCAAGTTTTAGGCAGACAGTTCTGCTCTGAGGGCCTCATGGCTGGCTGACAGCACTGCTTCTGTGTGAGTCTGCTATACGCACCAAGAGGACTGTCTGTGAGCCTGCTATGTGCAGCAAGGAGACCCTGTCCCATCTTGAACCCAAGCAAGTGTCTTGCCAGCCCAGCCTTCTCCCAATCTGCAGGCTGACCACATGCCTCTTTCAAACTGCCTAATCATGGCATGCAGAAGGATTTGACAATATCATCTTTACCATTTGTCTCAGTATTTGTTCAATTGGTCCATACTACTTGGCCATCGTTACTTTGGTATTCCATTGTCAAGGAGGGCAGGAAACTCCAGAAGACTGACATTCACCCCAGAACTCACTCTGGAGGAGAGTCCGTTTGCTGATCTCAGTAATCAGTTGTGTATCTGGCTCCACCAGTACTCCGGTGGGGTACATGTATACTGTAATCCCCCAGCTCACAAGGCAGGAGTGATTTCTACATTCATAAATGGCTGAGAGAAAATCAAAACAACAATAACCTGGGGCACACACAAAAAAGAAAGAGTTGGAGAGATTGCTCAGCAGTTAGAGCACTGTCTACTCTTGCAGAGGACCAGGTTCAGTTCCCAGCACCACACAGGGCTCCCGGGTGCCTCTTAGGAAGTCTCATGTCCTCTTCTGGCTTCTGTGGACACTGTATGTACATGGTACACAGATGTACATGCAGGCAAGCACTCAAGCATATGAGATTAAATAACTAAATCTTTTTTTTAAGTAAAGTTCAAATCTCTGTGTCCACAAATGAGGGTCTGCCGGAACACAGTCATGTATGTTCCTTGACAGCTGTTGCTCTCCCCCAGCAGAACTAAACAGTTCCTGCAGAGACTGGAGACCCACAAAACTGAAGAATTGGTGATTTTGCCTTCTGCAGCAAAAGGTTACTAACCAGCTTCTGGCCCAGGTTAAGCCCTCCCCATCCTGGTGGCTGTGTGGCCTGAAGGTGAGTCCCACTCAGGATGGTGGGGAAAGCAACTAGACCAGCTTCTACCAGGCCAACAAGCAGCCTGCTGAGTTGGGCTATTGATTTTCAGCTCTGGTCTAGCTCAGTCTCCTTTTCTCTAGGCCTGGAACTGCTTTCTTCTTTATTGTATCTACTGGTTCAAAGATTCAAAATTTAATACTTAGTTAGGAATGTATATACATTATTATAAGTATATATGCAACAGCAATTAATGAAGAGGCCATGAATTTGAAAGAGAGCAAGGAGAGGGTACGCGGGAGAGTTTGGAGGGATGATAGAGAAGAGGGAAATTATATAATTGCATTATAGTTTCAAAAAAAGGGAAGAAATAATTTAAAGTGTAAATAAAACCCCTCGGGGCTTGCTTTGTCATGCCCCACTGTGGCTACAGCTGTCAATGTTCTTGTTTCTGGGTATCTTATCAAATTTTTGCTCCCTGTTGAAATTTCCCAGAGAGAAAGGGAACTACTAGCTTATGCTTCTAACTGTGCTAGGTTATGAGTTAACCAAATGACTGACTTCTCAAGGGGCAGGGTCATACAGGGCAGAGTGTAACCCACAGCTCCCCCTCGGATTTCCCCTAGCATGGCTGTGACAATGACAGAAAGTGAGAATAGCTTGCTTACTATGCAGAGCTGCATATAAAATTGATGCTATGCATCAAATTCGCTGGTCAAGCTTGAGAGCCAAGATGGGAGAAAAAGAACCCATGACTGGTAGCATTAGAGTTAAGGGAACTAGGGCTGGGGCTGTAGCTTGCTGATGGAATACTTGTCTAGCACGAGGCCCTAGTTCAATCCCCAGTTCTGCCCCCACCCACCAAAAGTTAAGGGAATCTGTTGTCAGCAGGGCTTGCTCTTGCAGCTGTGGTTAGGAGGGTGATGTGGCCTCGGAAATCAGCAGCATCAGCAGGCTATGTGCTGTATCCAAGGCATTTCATGGAAGCCAGGCAGGCAGGAAAACAGGAAGTAGGTTTACTGAGAACCGGTGAATACGTGTCCCATACTGTGAGGACAGGCCCAAGTCCTACAGGGCAGAGTAATTAGAGCTCGGCAGGTTCTTCCACTAATGCCACTGGGAACTAAGTAGGGGTGAGAGAGAATATTCCAGGGACAGTATTGACATCAACAGAGAGGATCAGTAGGCCATTAGTGGTCCAGATAACTTGAGACTGCCCCTACAACATGCTTCTGCACCTGACCAGTATGGGTAAGTCAGCAGTGCAGGGCATCCTTGCCCACAACCAAGCGGTTTGAGGAGAACAGGTGAGCACTGGCAGAAACACTTGTGTATGACTCCAGCCGACCTCAGCATGGTGTTTATCAGGGATACCAGGAGCAAAATGAGGGACTGTGATCAGTAAAACAAAAATGTTCTTGGTCTGTTGGATGCTTTTCCCTCAAATTTGAAATTATCTTACAGAGAGAGGAGCCATAAGGAAATCCAAGAGGGAAGAGAGTCAAGTCAAATTACACTCTACCCAGGGAAGCCAGCTCACTAAGAGACCCAGCCTCCCCAGGGAGCTAGGAAGACGTGAAGCCTTCTGGAGCTGAGTCTCCCTTCTGTGTCAAAGAATAGCACCATGAGTCTCTTACAATGACTTATTTTTTATTGTTTTATTTTTTTGGTTTTTCGAGACAGTGTTTCTCTGTGGCTTTGGAGGCTGTCCTGGAACTAGCTCTTGTAGACCAGGCTGGTCTCAAACTCACAGAGATCCACCTGCCTCTGCCTCCCGAGTGCTGGGATCAAAGGCGTGCACCACCAATGCCGGACTTGCACTGACTTTTTAGATGTCTGAACTACTCTCGTTGTTTCTGAGTCCCATGTGAAAGTTGTATATGGTTGTCCCTGCTGCCATCTGTGGCTATCTTTATCCAGAGTCATGAGCAGAAGTTTGGCTAGTTGGCTAAATGAATGATAGAAAGGACTTTTCATTGGTAAAATTTGTGGTCTGTGATAAGGGATTCAACTGTTGAATTGTATTCATGACACATGGATTAGTTACACCTCTTTTAAGGCTGCGCATATCCTTATGTAAGCTAGGTGTAAGACTCGAGTCAGCCCTTAGTCATAACATCAGACATATGGCTCTAAATGTGTCTTGCATTCATCCATAAATCCAGACAATTCTGGTTGTGGTGTTGACATCTGGTTGAGTAAGCCTGTTCTTCTGTATAGCTAAAGAAATTCTTTGTTTAAAGAATGAAGAGAGCTGGCCAGGCATGATGGCATAGGCCTTTGATCCCAGCACTGGAGTCAGAGGCAGGAGGATGTCTGTGAATTTGAGGCTGACCTTGTCTTTATATCAAGTTCTAAGACAACCAGGACTACATAGAGAAACCTGTATCAAACAGTAGCAACAACAGAGAATGAACACAGTACCTAAATGATTAGAGATCTAGGACGTTACTCACCTTCCAGAACCAGACCAACAAATGCTATTTAATCTCCTTGCTGATAACAAACATTCATTTGGGTTACGACCTATCTTAGGGTTCCTATTGCTGAGAAGAGACACCATGGTCATGTCAACTCTTTAAAAGGAAAACATTTAGTTGGGGCTAGCTTACAGTTCAGAAGTTTAGTCCATTATCATCATGGCAGAAAGGAAAGCAGCATGCAGGCAGACATGGTGGTGGAAAAGGAGCTGAGATTCCTATATCTTGACCTACAGGCAACAGGAAGTGGTCTGAGACACTGGGGGTGACTTGAGCATATATGAGACCTCAAAGCCCACCCCTACAGTGACATACTTCCTCCAACAAGGCCACATCTACTCCAACAAAGTCACACCTAATAGTACTACTCCCTATATGCTTATGGGGTCAAATTACATTCAAACCACCATACAACCTTCATAATAAACATACATTTGGGTTAAGACTGTATTCTGCTTACTTTTCTCATCTCGATAACAAAATACCTGAGAGAAGGAAGAAAAAGACTTATTTTGGCAACCGGTTTGAAGGATAGGGCATCATAGTGGGAGTGTGGCTATAAGAGTAGTTCTAGTGATGGTGACCAGAGCATGAGGCAGCTTCTCGTGTCATGTCTTCAGTCAGGAACGAGAATGGGACAAATTCCAGTATTCAGCTAGCTTTCTCCCCTTTCCCTTTACATTTAGTCTGGAATGACCCCTGCGAGTAAATCTTTCCTTGTCAGTTAAACCACTGGAAACATCCTACCAGATACACCCCTAGGCATGTTTCTAGGTGAGTCTAAATCCGGTCAAGTTGGCATTGAATACTATCCCAGACTTGCTCTCACTACATGATAGTAGGCATGGGGGGAGATGGGATCAAATCCTACCTTATCTTGGCCAAGAATAGATGACCCCAGTGATGTAGAATGGATGATCTCTGGAGACTGGGCAGAGTCCATTCACTTGTCCATATGGCAATATTTTGAGTATGATGCCCCACCTGGTGTGCACTTGATAATGAAGCTAGTGCATAAGGTTGACATGGTCTCCCTCAAGAAGTTTACAGTCCGAGACTGTGACAAAGCAAATAATAGCAATCAGTGTCAAGTACTATGGCAAGAGAAATGCAGAGAAGTGGGACCACAGCCAGGCAGCGTATCCAAGGGTGGAAGTTAACCCGATCCTTGCTTGGCTGGGAAATTTTTCAAGGGCTGGAATTTATCACTTAGGTCAAATGCTTGAGCGCCACTGTGTCCCATGCCACTATTACATAATTTATAGTTCAAGGACACCTTTGTGATGTCCTATGGTCATCCTTCTCACATCAGTTTGGGACCATGTAGACACCTGGCCCTCTGCTATTTTTAACTCAGAGGGCAATGAGGTTCAAAACCACATAATGCAGTTGGCAGATTTCATCCCCAGAGACCAAAGCATGAAGAGGTTCAGTGACTTGCCCAAGGGCATTTATTGAGTCAACAGTTGAAATGGGAACAGAACCCAGTCACCAGACACTGTGGCCAGGTGACTCTCCCTTCCCTCACTGTTTATTAAGGGGGAAAAGATCTTGTGAAGTATCAAATGACTCTAGTCTTTTGATGAGTGTGCAAACCAAAGAGCAAATGAGAAGAGTGAGTGTTGACTTTTCCTTGACATGACCCCTTCAGAAGATGCAGCAACCGATGGGTGGAAGAGTGTGACTTAGATTATAATAGAAGCAAACATGTTTTTAAAATCCCCCCCAAGAGAACTAGTAAACAGGAGAGCTGGCTATGAATGTCAACGTAATAGAGAGCAGAGGAGGTGAAATGACTGTCCCCAATTCATACTTTCCTCTCATCAGTCACAGAGGGGTATGAGATGGGTGTTTTCATTGGGTTACTGTTGTTATTATTGTGGGGGCAGGCTGGGGGGTGAACCCAGGGTTTCAGACATGCTAGGCGAGAGCTTTACCACTGAGCCATATCCCCATCCCCACATCCCTTATGCACAGGTCAATGAGACAGTCCACTTGGGGCTTTGGTAAACTGCCTAATAGCACATGCTGGAGGAAATAATGGCTGCCTGGAATCCTGCTGAGATAATAGGTGATAGCCTCTACAAAAAAAGAGGACCTGGGATTCATTTCATCATATGACAAAGAAAACCTGGACTGTGTGCTGGAGTCTACCTATCCCTATAATTTGGGTTTGAATGCACCTGCAAAGACCCATGTGTTGAAGAGTCCCCAGGCAGTGTCACCAAGAAGTCACTGGAGGTATGCCCCAGGGGGGGCTGCGGCTCCCAGTCTCTTCTGGCCATGGTGTGAGGAGTTGGCCACTCCAGGATCTCCACCTTTGCCTCCAGCAACCTCACCAAAGGCTTGCCAGAAGTGGATCTTCTAGATTATGGAGTGGAGCCTTTGAAACCATGAACTGGAACCATGCTGCAGTTTGTAAGTTGATTTTCTCATGCATTTTGTTATTGTGACAGGTGGTTTAGATGCCCCTTTCACCAGTGTCTGTGGGAACGAGAGAGGAATAGGTTGTTAAATTTTACATTGAGGCTCCTCAGAGGAAGGAAACTGCCTATAGAAGTCCACATTTGGACTTGAGCCAGGTGTCGGTGGTGAACACCTTTAATGCTAGCACTGGGGAGGCAGAGGCAGGCAGATATCTGTGAGTTCATGACCAGCCTGGCCTACAGAGAGTGTTTCAGGACATACACCAAAAACAATACAGAGAAACCCTGTCTCGGGGGAGGGGGTCCACATTTATTTTCCTTCAGATGAATTTCTTAAAAGACTGTGGCTTCCTTGGCCTTGGAGAGTGGCAATGTGGCATTTTCCTCCATGCTGCTCTGCTCTATACCACGGGAGTGTGCAGTCTGCTTCTTAGCCCTTCTCGTCTCCATTGGAACCACCTTGGACTAAGTTTCTACCGTGATTATTTAATAAAAACAAAGCTGAGGTGGCTTTTGATGGTGTCCTGTGTCAATTTGACTGGGGTGCAGAATACCCAGAAAGATTGGAAAAAAATACTAGTTTGCTCCAGATGTTTCTGAGTAATAATAACACTTAAATTTGCAGACTGAAGGAAGAAGAAGGCTGTCTTGAATGTAGCTGGACATTATCTAATCCCTTGAAGGAACAAGGAGTATGAAAGAGGCGGAGAAAGGGTAAGCTTTGCCTCTGGGGAGTCCCTCTCTACCTGTCTTTGGACGTGGTCCTGACTTGGGAGCCCTCAGGCTCACATTGGGATTCACACCTGTGGTCTTCCTTGTTCTTCAGCATGCAGATGGCAGACTGGAGGACTTACCAGCCTCCACATTGGTACTGCAATCTCTAATAAATCTCCATAAATACCCTGTTAGCTCGCCTTTCTGGAGAACATAGACAAACACAGCTCCCCGAATATCTTTCTGCTTAAAAGTGAAAGGGACACTGGGAGGGAAAGATTATTCTGTGGGTATGTGATCACTTATAGCCTGTGCTGAAACCTTACAGCAGGCTTGATTTTATAAATACACAAAGCACAGTATCAGTATCACAGACCTGGGGACATCCAGGTCCCTGGCAGTGTGCGACTAGGAAGCTTGGGCCATGGCGTGCTGGGACGTATTGGGGAGAAATGTGCCAAAAGCCCATAGTCCTTTCCCAGTGTTTCAAACGTTTGTATCACAAAATCAGGCCTTTCTAGAACAAACCATTTAGGAAGAAAAATCTATTTAATGAAAATGGTTCCTCTTGGCACAATGCCTTTAATCCCAAAATTTAGATGGCAGAGACAGGCAGATCTCTGAATCTGAGGCCAGCCTGGTCTACACAGAGAATTTCAGGACATGGGGCTACACAGAGAAACCTTTTCTCAAAAAAAGAAAGAAAGAAAAAGAAAGAGAAAGAAAAACAAGGAAAAGAAAAAAGTGTCTTGATGGGGCAGATGCTTTGACCTTCTACCAGGCTGTGAGTCACTTTGCAGAGAGTGGAACAGAATGTCTTCTCTGAGCTCTAGGCTGGCACACATCCCCACCCCCATTTTACCTTACCAGTGGTAGGGTTTTCCCTCAGTTTTCATTTCCAAGCGAGCATCCAGTCCAGAAACCAGGGAAACATTCTTGAGTCTTTCTCCCTCACCCTCTCCACCGCCCAGTGAGTCACTGAGTTTTGTGCCCTTAAAGACGTGCAGTGATCACCCACTCCTCCTCCAACTGCCCGCCTCAGTCCAGGCCTCCCTCCTTCCTTGCCTCTATTTCCTCCATGAGTGAACAGTCCTTCCAAAATGCAGATTGGATCCTGTCACTTGCCCGACTCCGGTCACTCAGTGATCCTCTGTGGGAAACAAAGGCCAAACAAAGCCTGTAAAAGAGCCCCTTGCTTGACAGTTTTCTCCGTCCTGTGACGATGTTGAGGTCCTGGGTGAACTTGGTACACACTCTTCCTATAGTCCTTTACTCTCGCCTCCTCCCACCTGACTACCGCTCACCCACAGAAGGTCCCCCTCAACCGCCAAGCTCCACAGCACAGCTATGTGTCTTTTTCAGAGCTGTCGCCAACTTGCTCAAACTGTGGAAATGATCTGAGGGAACTCAGGGGAAGGAAGAGACACGGCATCGACAGGCGACAGCAGCTGATCTTGCCTGTGTGTGGGGAACATGCGGACTACATGCATGGGCGTGGACACATGATGAAGGACAGTTCCAAGTGTCCTGAGGTTTCTTTTCCAGAGCTCAGAGCTCTGGACATAGCATGTCCTGGAAGTATTGGTGAACTGTCTCTCCACCTCTGTTCCTTGGGGCCAGCATCCCAAAGTGGGTAGGAGCTCCTGCCCAGCCCATCATCAAGTGCGTGAATACCATCAATGCAGAGAGACAAATTGGAAGCACCTGTCAGCCAAGCCAGCTCTAAGCAGACACACAGGTTGTGGCTTCACACTGGCACAGTAGTTCGGGTACAGAACTCTTTACGGAAATTTGCACTAACACTCGCTATCAAGAACAAAAGAATGTCTTTAGCTGGGAAGGATTCACTGAAGTGAAATTCGGCAGAGACTTGGCTGGACTATGAGGGGGAAAAAGCCTGGGACTGAGCTCCTGGTACAATCTTGTCCTGGACTACTTAGTTCCCCAACTGGTTTCTTCATGTTGAAGTCCTGTGTTAAAGAATGCTGTCCTCCCAAGATAACAGCCACCACCTTCCTCAGAACAGCTGGGACTACTTGTAAGTGACCCTAAAGATCAGGCTTATTGGCCTTCCTTCATGGTCACTGGACCCTCACCTGAGAGACTGGCCGCTCTGTCCGACACCTCCAAGCCAGTTTATGTGACCTTCCCTGACTGCATGTGGCATCATGATCTGGAGAGGCATTGCAATACACAAACTGAGGGTGGACTCCATGCCTGCGGCTATGGAGAAGTTGTTACCAGTGCTGGAAGGAGATGGCTGCTTCGGGGTCCCCTGCTCCTGTAAGTTACCTCTCAACCATGCTCTGTAAATAAGCCAAAGAAACCCATCAGCTCCCCACACTGGACCACCACTAGGGTGGATTGGTACTTTGGGTTTGTCTTTGGTGTGCCATAAAGGAGTAGATGCTTGTCCACATCTGCCAGGAAAAGAGTTCTGTAAACACCCTGCCGTGTGGAAAATGTACTCTCAGTACCCAGTTGCCTTAGCCGGTTTTAGAAAAATTAACAAACAAACTTGTGAAATCAAAATTAAAATTCCCAGAATTCAAATTTTCTCTCAATTTTTTCATTGAACAAATGAAAAGAATAAAGATAATTTTTTAAAAGTCTGAATGGATCAATTTTCTGAAGACCAAGAGTTATGACATCTCCCTTCTAACTGCTGTGCCCTTCGGAAAGTGACTGCCTTTCTCCCACTTTCCATACACACACACAGGCGCCCACACACGCGCGCGCGCACACACACACACACTCACATGCACACTCTCACACACACACACTCGTGTGTACACACACATGCACACACTCACACAGACACACAGGCGCTCTCTCACACACACACAGACACACGTGCACACACACACAGGCGCGCACACACACAGTCCCTCAAGCACTCTGCGTAGCTTTCCTCTTGTGCACCTGGTGGCGACTGTTTGATGAATAAACAGAAAAGCCTCATTTGTAATTTGGTGGCTTGCAATCCAGAACACATTTTCCAAAGGAAATGACATCATAAGAGGCTTTGGGTTTCCTGGGGCTGCCCACAAAGCCAATTAACCTAGCACACCGCTGAAGCTATATATTTTCAGAAGGAAATAAAAGAAGAAAGAAGCACAGTAACTATAATGTTCATGAAATAACCAAACGAAAAACCTGAACAAGAAACGCTCGCCCGGAGCAGACCCTAGCTATGCTGCTGGACTCTGCTCAGAGGGGGAGCCCTCTCTCTTAACTGAGTGATCAGGGCTTGAAATTAGAGACTTCCTCTCCTAACAGCCGACTCTGACAGCTGCTCAGCTCAGCCAGGCACGCATGGCTTTCGTCTTTCATGAACAGCCTCTCTGAAGTCAGTGACATCTCCACGGCAACCACATCAAGTTTTCCCACTGATGCTGAGATCGTAAGGGAACTGATGGATTTTGTTAAGGGGGCTGAACCCTGAGATGTCAGGGGAAAGGAGATAAGAGGTTCAAGGCATTGTCTTCGTGGGCCTGGGCTATTCCCAGCGAGCATGGGAAATTGCAGTCACTACCTTTTACTACTCACGGAGGAAGAGAAATCCTGATGGGTGATGTAGGATAGACAAGAAGGAGCTGGGTTGGCGAGCACAGCACATAGGAGGCCTGTGCTGCCAAGCAGCTCTGGGCAATTGGATCCCACTAAATTCTCACTGTGAGTGCTGGCCCTGTGCCTCTTACTGCAGAGGTTATTTACAGAGGGAGAATGCAGACTAAGGAGAGGCGGCACAAATATCACAGCGAGGGCAGGAGGAGAGCCAAGCAGGAGTCCAGAGAAAGTACAGTGCTGTCCCCAGAGCTGGAAGCAGCTCTGGCTGCCAGCCAGCCGCACCCTTCCTCCTAGTCCTTGAGCTCTGCTGCTCAAGCTGAATGAGTCGGGCGGATGCAGCAGTCGGCAGGTCGTTCACACCTGGAGACTCACAGAATTCCACCTCCCTGATGCCTCCCTGGTGGGTCAACTTGACCTGCACCGTGGCGATCTGATCCACTTCCCATTCGAGACTGGGGCCCTGCTCTCCCCGTGCGTCTGCCTTTGGGCGCCAAGTCACAGTTTCGTCACCCCAGGTGCATTCCTGCTCTCCAGAAACTGGTCACTTAGAACCACCCTCCTACCACATCTGATTTAGTTTCAGCCCATGGCCTTTCCTGTACTGTTCCCCTGCCCCAATGGGAGACTGGGCACTCTAGGTACCTGACTGACTGTGCTTGTGTGGGCCTCTGAAGATAGGAATTTGAGCTACTAATACCCCTTCATGGGATTGTTCCCAAAGGCCTTTCAGATTTGAGTAGCAAGTTCATCTTCATTTCCTCAGACATGCTTCCAAAATGCCGAAACCTAAGGCAAGTGGGCTATAATATCGGCACCTGAAATGGGTCTTTTTTTGTTTGTTTTTTTTAGAGACAGGGTTTCTCTGCATTGTTTTGGAGACTGTCCTGGAACTTGCTTTGTAGATCAGGCTGGCCTCGAACTCACAGAGATGTGCCTGCCTCTGCCTCCAGAGTGCTGGGATTAACAGTGTGCAGTCACCAATATCTGGCTTGAAATGGGTCTTTAAAAGCACCCAGGATTTGGAGTAGAAGCACATTGTTAAACCCAGGGCTCTTGATCTGAGTCATAGGGGCCTAACATTATTTCCTTATTCAGATCTCAATAAGATTATCCCAGCAGCTGATCCCCCCACCTGGCAAGCAATCGCACAGGTCAACCTGACTGGACAAACGAGCTCTTTCTGGGCCACCTGGGCCACTGGCAGGTATGCACACCCAGTTCTCCTGGAGCTGGGTTGTGTAAATACAGCCAATACCCTCCCAGGGTGTTCTTAGAAGTGAAAAAGATTAAAACTAACATTTACTAAACATAGGCACTCACTATTTGCAAAATAAATGAGACAGGAGTACACAGGTAAGAGACATGACAGGCTCAGTTAGAATGCATTTAAATATATCAGAAATTGTATCCTCAATTCAAGTGCCAGGAGTCAGCACTCAACAAGGTGATTAGGCTGGCCATGCTGGTGTATGCTGAAGAAACAGGCAGGAGCATGGCGCACTGGAGGCCAGCTTGGGTTACACATTTGTAGACAGTGAGATGCTTGGTAGATTAAGGTGCCTGCCACCAATCTTGATGCCCTGAGTTCCATCCCTGGGGCTTCATGGTGGAAGGTGAGAACCAACTCCGGAAAGCTGTCCTCTGATCTTGTCGTATGCACCATGACACTCCTGTGTGCGCACGCACACACATTACAAAAGTTGTTTTTTTTTAAGGTGATTAGGTCATGAGGATTCTGCATCTGTGAACTCCTTAATGCTACCACAGGAATGGGTTCGTTACCTTGTAAGTGGGCTTATAAAAGTGATTCCAGGACTGGAGAGATGGCTCAGAAGATAAGAGCACTGACTGCCCTTCCAGAGGTCCTAAGTTGGATTCCCAGCAACCATGTGGTGGCTCACAACCATCTGTAATGAGATCTGGTTCCCTCTTCTGGCATGCAGACATACATGCAGGCAGAACACTATATACATAACAAATTAAAAACAAACAAACAAACTGAACCCAACCCTCTTATAGTCCATTCTTTTTTTTTTTTTAATTTGTTTACTTATTTTTGAGACAGTGTCTCTCTACGTAGCCCCAGCTGTCCTGGAACTCACTATGTAGATCAGGTTGGCCTAGAACTCACAGAGATCTGCCTGCCTCTGCCTCCCAAATGCTGAGATTAAAGGTGTGAGCCGTCACACCCAGCCCCTCTCAGGTTCATGCTGTGGACTCTTTTGCCCTCCTGCCTTCTGCCATTGGATGACACGGTATGAAGACCCTCACAGATGATGGCGACTGCTCTTGGGGTTTCCCAACCTCCAGAACCATTAGCTGAATAAATGTCTACCATCTGTGAAGTGCCTGTCTGGGGTTCTGTTACAGTGACACGGAGGAAGACAAGGGAAAAGAGGACTCACAGGCTGCATGTGCAGAGAGCACAGGGCACCCTGTTTCCTGGTCTCTCCGACCCACACCATCTACTTCCGTTTTACCTCCTCTGGCTTTTTCCCTTCCTAGGAGCTTCTCTTCAAGCCATGTTTCTTGATTGTCCAGCTTCACCTAAGCTCCCTAACACTATATCCTTGGCTCTTCTTTACCAGATTTCTGCTCTAGTTTGTAATGAATGAGAGTGGGGGACCTCCTGTTTTACCCCCCAAGAAACTCCAACTGCTGGTATTAAGAGAAAAGCCTGGCTGTGGTGATATATTATTTATCATTTATTAAAGCTTGCCTGAGGATTGAAAAGCAAAGACAGCCTGAACCTGTAGAAATCAGGCAGTGGTGATACACACCTTTAATCTTAGGCTTCAGGATTAAGAGATAGACTGATCTCTCTGAGTTCAAGGCCACCCAGGGATACACGAGATTGAATCAGTCTAAAAGAGTAACAGATCCCACACCTTTAATCCCAGCACCAGGGGGGTATAAAAGATAGAAGCAGGGACTTCAGTAGTCAGTAGAGGCATTCGTTCTCCAGCCATGCTGAGGAGAGGTTACAGTCTGAGGCTTGGTAAGATCTCGTGGAGACAGCATCAGCCCATTCAGCCTAAGGTAGAGAGAGGTAAGAAGCTAGTGGCTGGCTGCTTTGCTTTTCTGACCTTCAGCTTGAAGCTTGAACCCCAATATCCAATATCTGCCCCTGGGTCTTTTATTACACCTGGCCCCAGAATGACATCTTCCTCCTGTCTGTTGGAAACCAGTAGGTCAATTCAACATCAAAGGCTCTACCTGGGGTTGACAGAACCACATACCAGTTTATTGCTCATTTCCACCCATTTATATACTCTGGGCTTTCCTTGACCCATCCTTTAACCTACAGTGCCTCCTCCACCGGTGGCTGAAAGCCCACCCATCAAGCTAGTCGTTCTTTGTGTTAATCATTACTTCTGCCTAATGATCCCCTTTTGAGCTTCAAATACTCCGGAAGGGAGAGCTCTTCGGCTTCCTAAACAAAGAACATAGGGGAGCACAGAAGTTCTCACACCCTCCCCATGAGATTGGGTGTGTATTAATTTTCACAGGCTACAGAAAAGAGGGGCATGGTTATCAATGTCATTCTTTCCTTATTCTATCTTCTCTGTCCTTGCAGACCTGGAGCATATAGGAGGCAGCTCGATAAAGTGTAACGAGTGCACTTTAATGACGTTTTCTCTTCTCCTTGACATTTAAAAAGAGTTGTATTTATTCTGCGTGAGTGGGTGTTCTATCTGCATGCATATCAGCATGAGCACGGCACCCTCACAGGCCAGATCCCCTGGGACTGGAGTTACAGATGGTTGTTAGCGGCCATGTGGCTGCTGGGAACTCGGATCCTGTGGAAGAGCAGCCATGGGCTCTAAACTGATGAGCCAGCTCTCCAGCTCCTAATGACTTTTTCTAGGGTACACAACCCAGAAACTCCTGGAACCCTCTAGAGTCAATGCTACAGTCCTCCTGGGAGCTCTGACTTCTGCTGCCATAGCTGAGTTTTGCTGTTCTTCAGTTTCATATAAATGGGGTCAGAACTACTTTGATTTAATGAAATTCTTTGGGGATTCATACATACATACTATGG